GTCAGACACGTCTGACCCGCCAGAATAGACGACCTCTATGTCATTGTCAGCATGCGCACGCGGTGTGATACTGCGTGCACCTGCAGCACCTGTGCCGCAGGCGGAAAACGAGCAGCAGACGACGAATCGTCTGCCGCAGAGGCTGGCACAGCAGCAGGCTGTGCGTGTCTTAATTCACCCCACACAGACATGTTAACTATGCGAGGTCGGGTGGAAAGTGAAGGGAACTGACCCAACAAGTGCCCCCTGTCCCAATGGTGTCCAGAGGGTGGCCGCCATAATTTTCGATAGTCACACGGTGACTATCAGTTAAGGGAAGTGATGTAACGGGGCAGCCCGTTACATGGAAATTGTCATTTGAGAGATAAGGACAATAAAGAATATTATGTTGAATATTCTTTTAACAATATCACCAATAGTGGTGATAGTGATGGGTCGACCAAAGAGTCTGCTCATTTGTTGATATCTTGACGATATCAACCCACCAATAGCCGCAAGACGCGCGCAATGAGTGGTGAGTAGACGTCGTCATACATCCAGTTAGATTAGTATAATTAAGTCAAGTCAAACAGAGAGACAGTGGTTAAAGACTGAATTATATTGATATATCAGTTTTACTTTTCCCTTATCTACGCTTCCTCGTTTGCCTCGTGTACGCTTGTCGGGGTACGATACCCTTGCGTTTAGTTCACGCAAGGGTGTGCCCCGTTACAAAAGATAACTAGATCGAGTAATGGAATTAGGACACCTTTCCTTTTCTTGGACGACCTAGCAGACGACCGGCTAGTGGTAACGACGGAAAACTCATTATCAGAAGCAACGACGTCGTTCGTCGACGTCAATGATACCACGTCAGATACGGCTTCACTCGACGAATTGGTCGTGATGACGACCGACGAACCCTGAATTGGAGATAATTGAGCGAGGAACAGCGAAACGGAAGAGACTGCGGGTGGTGGAACGGAAACATTGGCGGAAAACCAGCGAGTTCTCATAATGGGAAGTGATGCGGCTGGTTCAGCAGGTGTAACGGCCACATTTGATTTCTTCCGTCTTGTGGAAGCCTTTGGAGCCTTGACCTTCTTGGGTGACGCGGTAAACCACTTGGGGACTCGACGGCGGACTGCACGCAACTTTCGACGCGACTTGGACCGTGGAAACACCGATGGAGATGCGGGGCAAGCGAGATTGGGAGCAACGTCGGATTGCACGGCAGAATTACTCTCTTCTGCTATTCCAGACGCTAAGACTCTGAAGTGGTCGACGAAACAGCGTTTGGAGCGAGTTTAATCAACTCAGACGTAGAAAGAGGCGTCACAACTGGCTCAACATGAGAATCCGGCTCGGTTAGAGACGAGGTACCAAGCCCATGAGCCTATTTTTTAACAGCTTGAAAATACGCTAAATGCATTTGGGTCGCCAGAGACATCGCTAGCGTAATGGGAGCAGCAGGCGTAGGCTCGGGCCGCAAAACTATGTTCTAGAACATCGTCGACCCATCAAACAAAATGACGTCCGGGAAGTGAGCTGTGAGAGATCGACACAACCGCGCGTGATGTCCATATCTTGGGAATTTGATCCTGGAACATCCACGCAAACCACTGCAGCCACCGTAAGGTTCGGATTTAGCGCACATTGGATGTTTTCACGACGGAGTAGAGCTCTTTGTTGTCGGATGATCTTTTCTTGAACACTGACGCTAAGTCGAATCACTCGGAGCGCATGACTGTCCCCGTTGGACCAGGCCGTCGTTGCATCCAGGTGCTGCCGGAAGTAGCCGGCGGAAACGCCTTGTACACTGGTGTGACGAGCTTTAGCATTAACGGAGTCACGCGTAAGCTGGTTGGTCAGGCGATCACGGTCCGCGATACTAGCGGAAAGGTTAACAATCATACTCTCGGCCAACGCCAGACGATTGTCCCGATGCATAGCTGTCTGGCGCGCAGATGACTCGAGAGCGTTCATCTACTTGTGCAACGAGTCGATCAACTCGGTTTTTTCGAGATCAGCAGAATTTTAAGTCTGAGACTCTTACTCAAACGTTGGAAAATGATGCTGCAGGTCCACCGATCCAGAGACAGCATCTTACATTCGTCGATGAAGGGGGCATTCTCTTGGTGAGATTGGGAAAGATCCACGCAGAGAGCCGTGGTATCTAATGATTGGTCGACGATAGTAGCAACGTCAGCGGTCATCAACGAATAAAGGCCATTCACCGTAAGAATTCGTAGGACGGATTGCTTCAACGACGTGTCGAGAAGTGGGCACGGGCATTCCATCAACGTCACGATCACCCTGATTAATTAGATTTCTTGCCGCCGCATGCTATCGTCGACGCATGAAAGGAGGCGAGAGAGATGAAGCAAATCCAGCGATTTTCTAAATCCATGGTCAATCAGAGGCGCGACCTGGGTGGATTCGGCAGAGGCGACGCCGGACACACAAGGGTCACAAAGAGCCGCTATCGACGAATTATGGAAAATTGTCCAATCTCGATGATTCATCCGCGGCTTAAGTCGACGAGGAAGATGGTTTCCGGTCTCGAGTCGCTCCGTCGACAACCGACAGAGTGGACGAAGAAAGCGTTGCCGACGACGGTGGATGAGGTCGCGACTCTTTAGTCGTCGATTGTGGGTCTTCGACAGACTGGAAGATGCAACAGAGAACATACCAGCAAGCAGAGCACGAGGTAACAGCTACAACGAGAAAGACGGAGAGAATCATCATGACAGATCGACCCATGATTCGGGGTTAACGGTCCGGAATAAATAACAGAAGTGGCGGAGAAGAGAATAATCGTGACGCTTGCCATTTAGGTACATTTCGCGAATGGGGCAGTTGTAGTATATGGGATTTTACCCTTGTGATATTAGTGCGGGGTCTAGAAAATCAAGAGCCGGAGACTAAAGAGCTGGCGACCGTGGGTCGGCGAGTCAAGTGTCGGCGACTCGTGTGTTGGTGACTCGGATGTCGGTGAATTAAATGTCAGTGGCTCGAGTCACAGCGACGAGTGTCGGAAACTCGAGTATCGACGACTTGGTTGTCGGCGACTCGGGTGTAAGCGACTCATGTGTAAGCGACTCAAGTGTTGGCGACTAAAGTGTAGGAGACTCAAGTGTAGTGCAGAATGCGAGAATATCGAGCGACAGATTCGTTTCTTTTTTTGTATACGAAATAGGGAAGGACAGAGAGACATTTAAACTGGCGCTGCGAGATAGCAAACGAGATAAACCAATACAGTGCAGAATGTTCGAAGTCCAAGACACGCGTACACTTAAGATATGTCGCTGCGTGAGCTAGATTATGCCTGCCGTCGAATCTCGAGAGGCATAGCTTGTATAGGTATCGACTGGTAGCGCCAAGATTTGAGTAAAGCCTGGGTTGGGCAGCGATATATACTAGCGAAATATAGAGTCTCGTCGTCGACGAGCCGGTAAACCTCAGTAAAATGACCGCTGTAAGTCTTGTCAAGGTAAAAGCCAATGAACCAATAGACGGAATCGTTGAAAGCCTCGTTGAGCGACATGCCGGTGGGTCTCAGCCGAGGGCACTGCAATTCTTCTATTCGGGCGGACACTGCGCCTGGTGACCTGAAAAAACGCGTGAGCGTCGGCTTCCATCCTTTGGTGTGAAGGTACATGGAGTGAAAGGGTTTGAAGCTGCTGAGCTTAAGATGACTTTCGAAGGGATTGTTTGCAAGGAATCCTTTGAGCAAGATCGACGACTGAACCCCGAAGGGGCGAACTGCGGGGGGTTACTATCGCGTACCAACCAGTGCGCCGACTAAGCTCGTGATTGATGTGTTTGTGCGTTGAGGCTGTTGTGTTATGATTTGACTAACATATATATCACACTACCTATTGGTACGAGATCACATGATTACAGGAACGAAATGCTTAGCTCACGCAGTTTTCTGGAAAGGAGTGTTAGTTGTTGTAGGTATACAGCTGGGCGAGAGCCACAACGAAACCCGAAGAGGTGAACCGCGAAGGGTATTTACCCGACTTACAAGCCTAACTGCGCCGTCCAGCTCGGCGATAATTGTGATGTTACGTTGAGACTGTAGTGCCACAGATCTGACTAGCTCCTTACCACAGCACCAAAACCCGCTCGTAGTCGGTGCGTTCACTGTCACCCTTTACCACCGCCTCGAAGTTTAGAAGAACCAGATGTAGCTCGCAGTCGCTCGCTGGGAGGGTGTTTGGACTCGGTGAGTTTAAATAAGTGAAACCTCTTCCCATCGTCCCGTCGGGACGGCCCGTCGCTCGGTCGGCCCGAATTGCTTCCTCGCGTCCCGCCTGCAAATGCCTCCCCGGCCCACCGGGCGCGGGGTCGCCTGGTCCGAATGCTATCCAGGATATATGCGACCAGCCTGCGCCGTCAGACCGTGCACGTTTAACATGGTAGATGCGTTTCATGCATTTTTCCGACTTTGGTAGTGCTATGAATATGTATTGCACACTTCCACGTGACACATTAAAACGTGCGTATGAAAGCAAAACTATGGAAGTTATAAGTCAGGATATAACGGGTCGCTCGCGTACCTGAATATGCCTCACCTCATACCCACTCACGACATGTACGTCTCGTTAGAACATGGAGAATAATTGCAATACAAAGCTCTTTACAAGTCGCATCTGTCGATGTCTAGTCTGAACAGCGTAGATCACCTAATTGTCGATAGATCGGTCATTTCGTATTGACATCGTTCGAATGACATGGTCTAGGAAACCCCACTTTATTGCAGAACAAAGGCATGCCACGGAATCGAAACGCAGGTCCTTCGTTAAACTCGAGGTGTACAGGCGGCTGCATCATATACAGCGACAAGTTGCATGAAATGTACTCGCCTGTACACCACGATAGTGGCTCGTGCGCGCTGTACTCAGCACTACTCCTTTTACAATAGTTTTGTGTACCAGACACCAACACCCGCCTACGCGCTGTAAAAACCGTTATCTCTGTGCACATCGCACCAGGCGCTGCCACTCGAAGCCCCAATGGCGGAGACGTCGCGCATCTTGAGGTGCAGGACGCACTACAGTGTGCTCAACCTCGATCGAGCTGACTATGAGCCCGTTTTTGCTGACGCTCAACAAGTGCGCAGACGCTACAAAGAGCTGGCGATTCTTGTGCATCCGGACAAAAATCGTGCTACTGGTACTGACTGATAGACAGGTGGTTTATGCTTGAACTACTGCGGGAGACGATTAATTATGCGCTGATGTGTAGATGCTGAGGCGGCATTCAAGCGACTGGGGGAGGCGTATGAGTGTCTAGTGGATGAAAACCTGCAGCGTCACTATTTGCGACAATTGCAAAGCCGTGCACTACGAAGTGGGTCGACTTCAAACCCGCAGAAGAATCGTACAAAGTGGAAGAAAAGGTCCAAAGCAAGACCAGAGAATGACACTAGCGACGCAGTGCCACGAAGACAGCGGACACCCGAAGAGATTTGGCAGGTGTTCCAGCGTGAAGAGGAAGAAATGGCACGACGACAGTTCCTGGTTGAGGGGTTCGATAGGGTGTATCCGTCGTCGTCGACGCATACTAATGATTTAGCTAGCTCTGTTACATCGTTGGAGGAGCAACATCACATTCTAGAGTCCAATCTGGATGCCAGGGCGGCGAAATGGGCGGTATGGAGCAATCCAACCTCGAAACGGATACGGCTGACGACGGTCCCAGAATTGGCACATGAGACTGACGTAAATTTGACAGCTGAGACTGTTAGAAACGTTGCGGCACAAGTAATATGTTGCACGCTATGCCGCCGGAAATTCGCGACCAATGAGGCGCTAAGGAGACATGAAGCTCTTTCCAAGTTGCATCAGGCTAATGTTCAGTCCGAGCATCAAAGGTTACGTGATAGTCCATAGATTGGTCACTTCGTATGGATATCCTTCAAATGGCATCGTCTTAAAAACTCACTTGCAAAGTGAAGCTTGGCTGCGTGCGTCCGCAGCACGCAAGGGCGTCGCAAACTTCGGTTGTTCTCGAGATGTGGTATGCGTGTCAAATCCAATACGGGGACTGTCGGATACAAAAGGAAGAGTAGTGTACTGTACAAGCGGCGTTGCAAATGAAGTATGACCGTGCCTAACGTCATCCGGGTCGGGCATAGCAGCCCAAGAACATTGAAGATAAATGCGGTGCTTGGTTTCGGATGTCCGTTCGTTGTAGCGATTGTGCAGAACGACCCGTCGTCTCTCTATCTCAGCACTGATGACAATTCTAAGATACCTGAGTGATAATAAGTCTCTTCTACTATGACCACGTCGTTCTTCTCCTCGCTGGCTCATTCTGCTGGTTCGAGACATCGGGCTTTAGTGGAGCAGTCCGATAATAGTAGGTGTGACCGCAAATAACGGCCAGCATGCATCCTGCATTCATTGCTTCGGGACTAGTTAGCGGCCACACTTTTTCGGAACACGTCTGACGTGGAGATCATTTACCATTTTAGACTGTCTCGATGGGTCATCTTGACCCATTTCTGTCATGTGCATCGGGTACATAATTACCCAGACAAACCTCCTGAGCGGAATTCCATTGTGGTGTCGAGAATTGGGCTCGGATAACGCGCATGCAACTTGGAGGAAGATGTAGAAGAGCAGTAAAGTATTGGTGCCTAGGTGCAGCGCGCCCGATGATCAGCGGACGTATCTCACATCGTGTAACGTCGTGCTTATTGCTGTTCTTTCGGGTCAAACACTGCGCTGTCTTCCGTGGCGCAAGCAGCCAAAAGAAAGTTTTTTCTCTGTTTTTACCTCAACTTTGGCACGACAGACGCTTGGCGGAAGAATGGGAGTGACTTGTTGGAGGTTCGCCTCGATACGTTTGCGTAGTCGACTGTCAAGCGAGATGCGATCGGTAAGATACGTGGAAAGTGTCCTAAAGTTTACTTATCATTTCGTCCTACCGACTCCTTGCAACTATTTTTTGGCGTGCTTACAGGATTTGCTGTACGCGCCGCGGACAACCTTGACTTCGCCCAGATAGCCGCGTAACGTGCTCGTTTTGCTGCACGACACGTAACACTATGAAGTCCGGCAGATACGCCCAGGTGTTGGTTTGTGTGAGGGGGTTGTTGACCGCGGTATAAAGCTGATCAGGACATTCCTTTGCGAGGTCAGCAGACACTCATCATTCCTACGTATTGACGACGTAGCTGATGCAGCGACCAATAATTACAATCTGAATGTTTCGACAATGTACGTGAAAGCGCTCGAGCGTTGTGGCCGCGCTGCCGGCAGTGCGCAGGCACCAATGTGTAGATACAAAGTCATATTACGACAGCGACAAGTATGGACAAGGCGCAATGTCAGCGCCCTTTTCAGCTTTAAGCGCTACTGAGAATATGAAAGAGTAAGCAACAGATCTTCCCAAACAGAGGGTCTAGCCAAGCAAACCTACTCGGTCGTCTTCTTCAACGCGCGGATAGCCTGAGGGTCCGTGTTGAACATATCGTTTGGGTCGTACTCGGTCTTGATCTTCTGCAGCTTGGCATAGTTGCCACCGCCGTACAAGTACTCGGCCATCTCCGCCGTCGTCCATTTCTCATCGCGGTACGTCGTGAACCCGCCTGGCACACCGCCCGAAGCCTTGTAAGAGTCCACGAACTTGTAAAAGTTCGTGCGCATGGTGTTCAAGGAGCTTTCTGCAAATGACACTTTGTAGTCGGGGGTGCGCATGTCCCAACGAATCAAGAGAAGAATGTCGTCGTGTTTCCAGGCAGAGTCGTCTGGACGAACGGTCTTGGTGAACTTGCCACCCCAAACGTCCACATAGCCCCCGAGAGCAGCATCAGGTAGCTTGGGAGTAAAGACGGTGTTCGTAAACAGGTCCCACGCGGTGGAGTTAGTGAGAGGGGCCTTGCCTGGAATCGTCACCGATGTGACGTAGAAGAAACGGCGAGACGATTCCGTCTGCTTCACGAGACCAGGAGTCGACCAATCCTCCGACGTCCAGAAGTCACTTTCGGTCGTGGTCAGCTTCATTGCACTAGGCAGATTCTTCATGAGCGACGCGAAGACTTTCTTCGCCCCCCACTAGTGCCGTAGAAGAAGCCTTGCAACTCGATATTCTTCTTGAGTGCAAATCGGATGGACAACCGGTCGTCATTGTCTTTGCTCAAGGCCCACGTTTGCGTGCCAATCAAGGCATCCACGGAATCTTGCTGCGTAGGCTTGTATTCTTTGTCAAAAACGATCGTGTAATTCGTCGCGCTCTTCGAGGGAGGCGCAATGGTCTTGACCTTAAAATCGAGAACCACACCCAACGAGCTGGCAGCACCACGGATGCCCCAAAACAGCTGCGAGTTCTGCTTGGCGTCAGCGTCGACGATGGAGCTATTCGCGAGAGCCACTCGCACGGACACGAGGTTGTCCAGTACCGTGCCTTCGACACGCGACTTGGTTCCAAAACCCGACGCAGCGACACCGGTCATGCCGACTTCCGGGCAACGGCCATGGACAATGCTGCGCTTATGCTTGTTCCACAAGAAGTTGACAGCGTCCGAGATCGTGACGGGGCCACCGTACGATAGCAGCTGGGTCGACGCATCGTATTTCGTGTGCCTCAAGTGCTTCAGATTCATGATCAGAGCACCGTCATTGCGACCAAAGCCCATGCTCGAGAACGACCGGTTGCCGCCAAGCGTAGTCACCTTGACGCCGCAGGAAGCAGCACACTTCAGGGCAGCCGACACCTCCTCCTCCGTCTTCGGAAAAGCGACGGCTGAAGGTACAGGGCTCACCCGTGAGTTCCACGCCTCCGTGTCCACCGTCCACGTTGAAGTGGTGGGCGTCGAGTATTCAATGCCCGCTTTGTTCAGGCAAGCGCTGACGTCAGCTAGGGATGGTCCAGAAGTTGCGAGGCTACTCTTGGCACTTTGAGCAGCAACCATGCCACCCAGAGCAACAATGAAGGAGCAGAGAGCAAAGGTCAGGCGACCGGCGTCCAAGACCGTAGCGACCATGGGCAGCTTTGTTTGCTGTGTACTCGAGCTGGTTGGACGCTTGAGTGCCTGAGGGAAAATTGGGAAATGAACACTGCTCCAGACAAGACGCTGTCGTGACTGGGCTGTTGTCTTTCGACTCTTTCACGCAGAAGCGTTCGGCCGTGTCATCCAGCTCTTTATAGCATTAGTACATGGGACACCGCGTGTGGCGAACGTCGTGCACTTGCGGCAATGTCGACGGTCAGATCGAACGACCAGCGAGCGCTACAACGGAAGCGTTCAGGATCGTGAGTGGCTTGTTTGTCTCCTACGAGAAGATGGCGGGAAGCGAGAGATTCGCTTGAGACGTCGTAATCACCAGTAGACGACGTCTCTTGGCGTTTAATCTCCGCTTGCACTACCGCTTCTACTTCCCATCGTAGAGCGGTCTCTTGAATGTTTGGCTAGAAGGCTGTGTGCTGCCGCGCAGTGCCACATCGCTACCGCAACGACAGTAGTAGCCACAACAACGCCGAGACTGGCGATAGTTCGACAGTCCCGGCTTCATTCGAGCCTGTACAGAGCCGATCGATTGCGATTCACGGAAGAAGGCTCCATAGAAAACAGCAATGCTCTCTGTGTATTCATCACAGTCGGCACTTTGTTGCCAAAAGCTCCGACTCGAAGCGAGAAGAGGCTTTGACCGATGAACCACAATGTACCGGTCGGACTACCGGTACGATCGACGAGAGCAGCTGGCTTGGTCCAACTGAATGATGGATAACCTAGACCAAGGCGTCGCTCACGAATCGCTCACTTCAAACGACACGCAAGCCAGCAGTACGAGCAGTTGACCGCACAAAGTAGTATATGCTCCTTCTACTGCGCGCCTTAGTCGAAACTGCGATCACAGAAATGATTGATCCTGTAGTCGGGCACTTTGGTGCTTGAACAGGCGTCAAACGATCAGAGCGTGACGTTTGTTTATGCGAAGAGTACGCACAGGATATCAGGGCGAGCGTGACGTTTGTTTATGCGAAGAGTACGCACAGGATATCAGGGCGAGCATGAAAGGTATGTTCGCTTTTGCGTAAGCGTGAAACCGATTTTGGTGGGAGCTAATCTCGTTGGCAGCATAAAGCCCTGTCAATGCTCCATTGAGGTGCCTAAAAAAGGAGCGTGAGCGTTCGATCGTCCGGAAAGCCTGGACAAGCAGGAAACAGTTGCTCATTCGAGTAAGCACGATATCGACGTCAATAGTGGCCTATCCCACACGCATTACAACGACATGTCGATCATCTCCCAGTCCCGAATCGGATTTAGAAACGACCGGCAAGACGACACTCACTTTTGTACCATCGCAAAAAGATGCAGTAATGGGGACACGCAGCAGCTACTTCTTGCCGATAGGTAGACGCTCTATCCATCACGTCTGTGAGGAGAAGTATGCGTTGCAATTTGAGAAAAGAAGGAGGCGGCTCAATCGTGTGCCACGCATGTTCTACTATTTCGTTTGAGCTGCGTGCGATGACGGAAACAAAGAAGTGGGCGAAACGGACGACAACAGTGATGTCGACGATCAAAGTGACGTGCACAAGCAGTTATCGTCAATCGAGGTGTCACATCTGTGCATTACCGACCCTACGGCAATGGGGATGACTACACAATCAGATGCGATAGTGAATGTAGGGCAGTCCAGCCCACGATGGTTCTTTGTACTGCTCCTCGACATGGCGACGTCAATGTACGCCTGAGTCGGCAGTAACTGGATAGACGAACCGAATGATGTCGCAAGATTTGACCCAACGAGAACGTGGTGGAACGCGATTGCAGTTAGTAACTGCTACCTGAATGGCGGCGTCGATACGTACAGACTCCATATTCCTCAAACGGACGCTCCAAGTGTGGTGAGGCTGCGCATGAAGAACATCATCGAGTCAATACCAACTAATCACGAGTCCGCCGAAAGGTAGAATTGCAATACAAACACTAAGCTCATGTAAGTTTCGCAAAAACTTATTCGCGTTGGTCGTAGTCGACGATTCAAGACGCGCACGTACGAACCCGATACTTAGTAGCAGACATTGATATTGCTTCCATGAGGCGTTCACATCGCGATGGTGTCGCATGGTCTTGGCTGATCGCGCTGCCCAAATGCCTTTCGTGCAAATATTACAGCCCACGACGTGAGAGCTTGTGAGTTGGCCGTCTGCTGCAAGTGTCTAACAAAAGCTGACACTCCTTATGCTCCCATTGCTGTACAAGTCTGATCGCCGACGCATCACACACTGGTATCCGGAATACCACAGTGCAACAGCACACCAAACGCGTCAAATTGAGTGAGTCGGGAACGAAAGATGTTCACGCGCCTGCGCAGCGCCACTGCGTCTCGGCACTTATAATTGTGCGTCTCGTAACTACTGAGATGTCGTGATCAATGGTCAATGTGTATCCTTAAGGAAATGTAATCGACAGGAGCGCCGCAATAGAGGTGATATTGAAGTTCTGCACCAACGCTTGCAAGACTAAAAAAGCAGGTTTACATACTATGCGAATAAGGAACGCAAGAAGCAGCGACAAAGCACACTACTCTAAGCGCGAATAGGCTTTGACCGACGAACCACAATGTACCGGTCGGACTACCGGTACGATCGACGAGAGCAGCCGGCTTGGTCCAACTGAATGATGGATAACCTAGACCAAGGCGTCGCTCACGAATCGCTCACTTCAAACGACACGCAAGCCAGCAGTACGAGCAGTTGACCGCACAAAGTAGTATATGCTCCTTCTACTGCGCGCCTTAGTCGAAACTGCGATCACAGAAATGATTGATCCTGTAGTCGGGCACTTTGGTGCTTGAACAGGCGTCAAACAATCAGAGCGTGACGTTTGTTTATGCAAAGAGTATCGCACAGGATATCAGGGCGAGCATGAAAGGTATGTTCGCTTTTGCGTAAGCGTGAAACCGATTTTGGTGGGAGCTAATCTCGTTGGCAGCATAAAGCCCTGTCAATGCTCCATTGAGGTGCCTAAAAAAGGAGCGTGAGCGTTCGATCGTCCGGAAAGCCTGGACAAGCAGGAAACAGTTGCTCATTCGAGTAAGCACGATATCGACGTCAATAGTGGCCTATCCCACACGCATTACAACGACATGTCGATCATCTCCCAGTCCCGAATCGGATTTAGAAACGACCGGCAAGACGACACTCACTTTTGTACCATCGCAAAAAGATGCAGTAAGCAGATAGCTAGGATGGGGACACGCAGCAGCTACTTCTTGCCGATAGGTAGACGCTCTATCCATCACGTCTGTGAGGAGAAGTATGCGTTGCAATTTGAGAAAAGAAGGAGGCGGCTCAATCGTGTGCCACGCATGTTCTACTATTTCGTTTGAGCTGCGTGCGATGACGGAAACAAAGAAGTGGGCGAAACGGACGACAACAGTGATGTCGACGATCAAAGTGACGTGCACAAGCAGTTATCGTCAATCGAGGTGTCACATCTGTGCATTACCGACCCTACGGCAATGGGGATGACTACACAATCAGATGCGATAGTGAATGTAGGGCAGTCCAGCCCACGATGGTTCTTTGTACTGCTCCTCGACATGGCGACGTCAATGTACGCCTGAGTCGGCAGTAACTGGATAGACGAACCGAATGATGTCGCAAGATTTGACCCAACGAGAACGTGGTGGAACGCGATTGCAGTTAGTAACTGCTACCTGAATGGCGGCGTCGATACGTACAGACTCCATATTCCTCAAACGGACGCTCCAAGTGTGGTGAGGCTGCGCATGAAGAACATCATCGAGTCAATACCAACTAATCACGAGTCCGCCGAAAGGTAGAATTGCAATACAAACACTAAGCTCATGTAAGTTTCGCAAAAACTTATTCGCGTTGGTCGTAGTCGACGATTCAAGACGCGCACGTACGAACCCGATACTTAGTAGCAGACATTGATATTGCTTCCATGAGGCGTTCACATCGCGATGGTGTCGCATGGTCTTGGCTGATCGCGCTGCCCAAATGCCTTTCGTGCAAATATTACAGCCCACGACGTGAGAGCTTGTGAGTTGGCCGTCTGCTGCAAGTGTCTAACAAAAGCTGACACTCCTTATGCTCCCATTGCTGTACAAGTCTGATCGCCGACGCATCACACACTGGTATCCGGAATACCACAGTGCAACAGCACACCAAACGCGTCAAATTGAGTGAGTCGGGAACGAAAGATGTTCACGCGCCTGCGCAGCGCCACTGCGTCTCGGCACTTATAATTGTGCGTCTCGTAACTACTGAGATGTCGTGATCAATGGTCAATGTGTATCCTTAAGGAAATGTAATCGACAGGAGCGCCGCAATAGAGGTGATATTGAAGTTCTGCACCAACGCTTGCAAGACTAAAAAAGCAGGTTTACATACTATGCGAATAAGGAACGCAAGAAGCAGCGACAAAGCACACTACTCTAAGCGCGAATAGGCTTTGACCGACGAACCACAATGTACCGGTCGGACTACCGGTACGATCGACGAGAGCAGCCGGCTTGGTCCAACTGAATGATGGATAACCTAGACCAAGGCGTCGCTCACGAATCGCTCACTTCAAACGACACGCAAGCCAGCAGTACGAGCAGTTGACCGCACAAAGTAGTATATGCTCCTTCTACTGCGCGCCTTAGTCGAAACTGCGATCACAGAAATGATTGATCCTGTAGTCGGGCACTTTGGTGCTTGAACAGGCGTCAAACAATCAGAGCGTGACGTTTGTTTATGCAAAGAGTTCGCACAGGATATCAGGGCGAGCATGAAATGTATGTTAGCTTTTGCGTAAGCGTGAAACCGATTTTGGTGGGAGCTAATCTCGTTGGCAGCATAAAGCCCTGTCAATGCTCCATTGAGGTGCCTAAAAAAGGAGCGTGAGCGTTCGATCGTCCGGAAAGCCTGGACAAGCAGGAAACAGTTGCTCATTCGAGTAAGCACGATATCGACGTCAATAGTGGCCTATCCCACACGCATTACAACGACATGTCGATCATC